ATTTCTGTGAAAACAAAAACAACAACAACAATGAATGAATGAATGAATGAATAATGGATGAATGAATGATTTTTTGAACCAAGTTGTACAGGTACAAGTAAAACAATTTTGTAGCAGTTCCAAAAGCCAGATCCAAACCTGAATTTGACTGATCTTATAGCAAAACAAATATTGACTTTGACCTTTATAGGGTTACAATAAAGGCAAAAGATATTAGACAACTGTAATTTTACAACCAGTATTTCTAGACATTTTTTGTTTTTAATTTTGACCATTGTATTCATCAAATTGGGAAGCTGAAAAGATCTCCAATCTATGGCTGCAATGATTATTATTCATAATTGAATGTTTAGTTCATATATCACATAATTTGGACAAACTCAATTTGAACGCATCTTAACCCTTTCACGATATCATTGTCACTTTCCACAAATAGTTTGGTTCACATTATACATACTTTTAATCATTCAATCTCTATAGAGATGAGCAGTAGTACTGACGCTTTCTGTTGAATTTACAGATTATCAGTTAAAACTGCTCACATTTTGTTAAACACACTGCCTTTATCTGGCTAAATTCAACATACTTCCATGAGTGCTGGAACTGTTGCATTATGGGATACAAATTAATAGGCTGTAGTCACTATGCAGCGCATATTCAAATTTTATATAATTTGACATCAGAGTTACCTCGCATGGGACCCATACTAAACACAACTTGGCATGGCGACTATAACCCTATTTTTCAACTGATTATTGTAACTTATATTGAGATTTTATTTGTAGCCTGAAACTACTGTCAGTTTGGTCAAATTACTTTGATTCAATTTTGACTTGTGCTAGTAATTACTACTAGTCTAATTACTGATTCATTGATATGTTTATTATTTAATTATACAATCTAATATTGAAAATTATTGAACAGTCATACGCTGCAGGTTATATCGTCAGCATCTCTGTGACACAAATGATCCCAATTTCATTTGAGATTGAGGTTATGTTACTTTTTTGCTGTCTGTAATAGCACCGTCTGTGTTGTACGTGTGCTTTAACACATGCGTGTTTGTTGTTGTCATCTTTCAAATTCAATATGCAACTTTGAAATGTGATATACAATAAAACAAGTACTGCATTTTCTCCAAATTTAGAAGCACATCTTCAATTCTCGGGAGCAAAACCTTGGGTATTTTTAACGTCTGGCAACCATAATCGGTAAAAACGATGGGATAGTTGAACAGTGTAGCCAGATTATCCATATACAAAATGTACATGTATGTGAAACATATATAAATTTTGTTGTTCAGGATTGTCTTGTAGTTAAGTTTGTGCTGTTTTCTTGACTTTAGCTGTCTCTTCGACCCATGTTCCATAACTGCTTGCCCCGAGCTCATAGAAATACATGGTTCAGTGGTGAATGTCTGAGCAGCATATAACGTTCTATGACGTGATCCGTCCCCGAGAATAGAAGCATACCTAAACTAAAATTTGCATTTATTGTATTTTTATTGTACCCTATTAAAGTGAGTGTGTTTGGAGATCATTATTCGATCCAATTTAACTATGGGAGAACTTCAGGTAAGGTCCAAAAATCAACACCCAATTATTTGTTGCCGAAAATTCCCAATATTTATATGGTAGTACAATGTTTGTACTCGAAACATACAAAAAAGTCAGTATTAACTTGACATGGAATATTTTTGCTTCCAAAATATTTTTGTTGTTTCAATTCTGTTGCGCTTATTCAGTTGTCTTCTATGATATGAAAATGAATACATCCTGTGCATTGATAAATACATGATATGAAAATGAATACATCCTGTGCATTGATAAATACATGGTATGAAAATGAATACATCCTGTGCATTGATAATACATGATATGAAAATGAATACATCCTGTGCATTGATAAATACATGATATGAAAATGAATACATCCTGTGCATTGATAAATACATGATATGAAAATGAATACATCCTGTGCATTGATAAATACATGATATGAAAATGAATACATCCTGTGCATTGATAAATACATGATATGAAAATGAATACATCCTGTGCATTGATAAATACATGATATGAAAATGAATACATCCTGTGCATTGATAAATACATGATATGAAAATGAATACATCCTGTGCATTGATAAATACATGATATGAAAATGAATACATCCTGTGCATTGATAAATACATGATATGAAAATGAATACATCCTGTGCATTGATAAATACATGATATGAAAATGAATACATCCTGTGCATTGATAAATACATGATATGAAAATGAATACATCCTGTGCATTGATAAATACATGATATGAAAATGAATACATCCTGTGCATTGATAAATACATGATATGAAAATGAATACATCCTGTGCATTGATAAATACATGATATGAAAATGAATACATCCTGTGCATTGATAAATACATGATATGAAAATGAATACATCCTGTGCATTGATAAATACATGATACATCCCATTAGTATAATACTTATAAATACATTCGCTATGTAATTAGGAGAAAATACTTACAGCATCTCACAAATCAAGCCATATGTCATATAAGATACTCTTTAACCCAGTACTTATTCAACTATTTTGACTATTTGGTTTTTGTCATTAGGTCATTTATATAAACAAATTAATGCATAGGAATAGGATGAAGTTTATTATGGTATTTTGAAATTCTATGGGAAGCATTATTTCTATAGTTCACTGTGCAAGTTAGTTTCTTTTATAATTAGCGTATATACCACTAATAGTTGATACTGAAGCAGGGTAGGATTCATTAGGGGTTGCCATACCTCTTGCAATTTTGAAATTCAATACAGTGTATCTTGAATGATCATTTCAATACATACACGTACATACTGTATAATTGGTCTGTTAAAAGTGTATCTTCAATAGAAGAATACAATATACCGAAAATTGTAATTATTGTATACTGGATCATTAAAATATGACCTACTTTAACCATAGATACATCTCTGCAAATATGCAAATACAATAGACCAAATACCGTACCCACAATTCTTAGGCATGGGCAAGGCTAGACCAGTTGGATCACTATTTTTCTAATTTACAATGTATTATATTTTCAGTTATTAATGTACAAACCTAATGGATGTCATTGTTTTACAATTTTCCATAAGCCACTTTATTGAATAGTTAAAATGCAAATTGTAAAAGAATAATTTTCAGTTTGATAATCCCTGGTAACAGCTTGATTGCAAATGTTTGAAGTGCCATAGAGCACAGTGGTGAGCACATTAACTGTATTTATTTGCATGAATGTCTGCCTTATGTTAGTTTGCAATCCATTTTAACCATGGGGTGTGAAATATAATACAGATTAAATAGGATAGTCAGTGACATTAAATCAATGTTGTTTATGGGTACCAAGGTATTTCTTCTCAAAAGCTGTATTCAGTATCATGGATTGCAAGCCTGTTTTTCTACCCCCAAAAATACGATATGTTTTCTAGCTTTTATTTATAAGTGCATTTTGTATCTTTCATGTTAATTCAATAATCATTTTGTTTCAGTTTTATTCAATTCATTCTCTGGTTGATATATTAGATTTTTATATAATTGTGGGTAATTTTCAAAAAAAAATTCTATGTACATAGTGTTAGAATATTGAAATTAGTTTCTTTAGAAATTTTCAGAAGAAAAACAAAAGGATAGGTAGCAACAGGCGAGTTTAATTAAATATGAAATTATTTACATAGGACCTGGTATCATTTGTTCATACATGTATAAGGATGATGCAATGAGTCAACCATTGTTTTCAGTTGATAACCTCTAATGTCAAAACGACATGATCTTAAGGAATTACTCTTACGAATCATGGGCATTAATTAATTAGGTAAATTGTTTTAGTGTGTCAGTGATATTATTTTTCAAAATTTGTCAGTTATTGTCATTGTACAATGCGGTAATTGTTATTATCTAGCCTAGAATTCTTGTATCCTAACCCATACAGTATCGTATACTTGGGTTTTCATTGCACATTGTTCAAGCACACACAGACTGATGGCGTTCTAGCTTGTATATTAGCATGAATATTTATTACTAGGGTAATACTGATATTCCCTATTGTCATGTGAAAATACCCAGACTCTTGATATGCACCACTATCAATCAGCAAGTTTTAAAATGTTGTGAAAACAATGCATTAAGCACTGGTTGTTATACTTACATGGGACTATATTGGGTACAAGGACATCTTCCATAATATATTTAACTGATATTTGCCTTGTCAGTTTTATAATATTTGATATGACAGACATATTGGTCACTGTCCTGTATAAAGGGATGTGATATTGTTGAAAGCAACACAGAAAAGATGATATGAAAATTCAATGATTAAACAGCGCATTTAAGGATTAAAAAACACACTAAAGTGAAATGATTCACTTGTCACAGCTGCATTGTGGTACTTTAGTATTTGTGTTGATTGTCAAAACTTTATGTTGAGAGTCTTAATGCCATGTGCATTACCATTCATTTTGTACACATGTCTACTTATATTCGGTTCCTGTATTAAGTGATTCAAAGACTGCCAATGACAGCTGTCACTTGGAGTTATCCGTTGTATGCTGATAAAAGGCTACCATACTTGAGTTCAAATCTTGGTTGCCTTTAAGGCTGATTACTATTCATTGTTATGGTGTGTAATTGCATTTCAAATATTGTGTTAAATCTGCTGGTCTGTAGCAGTAATGCATTTAACTTGTCATTTAAACTATACAAGGTTATGTCTGACAATTGATCGAGAATTGTCATTAGAATTGCAAAAAAAAGTAGGATTATTCCAAAATATAGAAACGGCTTTTGCCTCGATATAGCTAGCTACATGATTTCCATAGTGGTGTAACTGTAATTTGGAATAAATACTGCCCTCTATTGACAGCTCTATACAGCTACCATTGAGGGTGCTGTTTATTCAAAGAATCCACTTTACTCATTTCTATGTTTTTGTTTTCTTACAGATATCCACCAAACTCACGATGGTAGTATTTTGGTTCACAATCCTTACGCTCCAAGTGGAGGCGGCGGTGGCACTGGGAGAGGAGGACCTTCTGGTAGCTTAATGTCTCCTCGTAGTTCTTGGTATGGTGGACAGTACGGTGCCAATGGTAACTTTTCTCGTGGTGGATGGAAGCGAATGAGTTTACCCAGTCCAGGCACACATCTTGGTGCTTACAATGCAGGACAGGTAGGCAGATCAAACTTTAATTAAACCGCAAGTCCAATTGCTTTGATATGACATATATAGGTACTACATGTGGACCTCTCTCAGTTTTGTTCATTTCGTGATGATATCCTCAATTCTCTAATTTTAGTGAATATTTTTGTAATTTTTGGTAAAAAAGTGATATTTTCCACTTCTTGTTGAAAACCGCAAGTCTGATTGCTTTGATACTATACATATTGTTCATTTTCCAATGATATCTTCTGTTCTTTAATTGAAATGTGCATTGCTAACAGCGGAGCTATCTCAGCCGAGAGGCTGCTTGTTTTTATATTTTTTGTCCACCAAAAAAAACATAAAAATTGCTAAAAAAAGAAACGATCAGATGTGCAAATTCAAAGGAATCAGAGTTTATGACACTGTATTTAGTGTGGAGAAATTTCAATGGAATATAATGGAAACATATTATTACAGAAATACACCTCATTTATGTTTTGCATTGGGTTAAACATGAGGTGCAACATTTCAGAATGTTGTTTGTTGATCAATTATTGATACAAATTCCAATGTTACAAATATTTGTCAATTATGTTGGTGTGATTAATGTGAACTTTCTATTTTGTAATTAGTTTTAGTCCACATACCATGTACTTATAAACCAATCGGTATTATGGATTTAGGTCACAATCCTCAAACTGGTTAGGTTTTACATTTTTTTTCCTGTGCATTGGCATTGACAAATCAGAGTTACTGAATTAAAATCATAGATCATTTTCAACATTCAAACTCTTGCCAATTTTCCATTTTGCTAAATTCCACTGCATAGTGGCAGATATTTGTCCCATGCTTTGTGTTTAATATGTCTAAAATGTGTGGTTTGTTTGCACAAAGATTTGAATTTGTACTCAGCAATGGCTGTGTCTTTATTTAAGCGCTTGTTTATTTGATTTATTCTGGTTTCTCTATAGCCACTGATTGGTAATGAACTTCTGAGTCCCACAAGTGAAAGTGGAACTGATGGGATGTCAATCAAAGATGTCTGTGACCGGCTTCTCACACTGGAAGGTATCGACCAACACATGATACCTAAATATCAAGCCAGAGTCGCTGAAAACAATATTAATGGGCATGTCTTACTTCAGTGTGACGTTGATGAACTCAAGAAGGTTCTGGGAATGACATTCGGCGATTGGCAACTATTCCGTGCAATGGTAATTAGGATACGGAACCAGGAAAGAATGAGATGCGGTGATTTCTGTGATGGAAGCGATATTGCTATGGCTGATATAGAAGGTCAGGAAGGTGGACATTTGAGAGTGCCTGGACCAGATAGCTTTTTAACACTGAGTTATGAAGAGTTAAGACCTATAAGTCTGTTAGCGTCCAACTCACCGAGGTCATCACCCAAGCTGGATGAGTCTCCTACAGCCAATCCACCAGATGGACCGTTCAGTCAGAGTCATGATGGAGTGTCGGAAAACTTGCACCATAACGTGAACGTACAGTTTGATAAACTGCAATGCAGGACGATACCGAACCATTCCAAAGAAGAGAAAAAGAAGCACGGGAAGTCTGTTGTGCTGAAGAATGTATCTGATGAAAACTTCGAACTGAATACTATTGTGATACATAGCAATGGGAGTAACTCGACCAACAACTCTGCAAAAGACCTCCTGGCTGCTAAAAAGGAGAAGGATGAAGATATGACAGAGAACACATTAGCAAAGACAGACCAAGAACCTGAACCAGTCAGGGGCAGACCACATATCAACAAACCTAAAGGAAAGCCCAGTAACATGGCATATACCATGTCATACATAAGCGATTTCTCAAGTGCTGAGAGCCTCCAGAATATTCAAGACAGAGCAAATGGTCAGGACCACCTCCTTGATCATCAGAAAGACGGTCAGTTCCTGGAGGAGCTGCAGAAATTGAAGAAAAAGATGTCCCTCAGCAAGGAGAGTCTGAGCAAGAAAGGGGAGGAGGCTGATAATGAGATGTCCCCTCTTTTAACTCCAGTGGAAAAAAGAAAAATTCCAAAAGGTCGTCCTAAGTTACTGCGAAGTCTTGAGAGTCTAGACTTTGATACTGAAGATATCCCATTGATAGATGACAATGATGTGGAGGATAGTTTTAGAGAAGAAAGGGCAGAAAGCGAAGAGGGACAATTGGATGAAAATGGGATTGATAATCGAAGAGACACCCTTGCTGATGATGTGAACGGTGAAGAGCTGCACATTGTGGAGGACGAAGTACCGCAGCAGACTGCCAGTGGAGATGCAAATACATTTCTAAATGTCAGACCCAGAGTACCATCTAATGGATCAAATTTCTCAAGCGTTGAGAGAAAAGGTAAAGAGGTTGATCATTTGTTTAAATTTCTGGATAACGAGGAGAATAATTTTGGCAGTTCACGGCAAGATGGGGGAAATATTTCAGAGATGTTAGAGGTTGACCGCAATGGGAGAGAAAGGAGTAGCAGTATGGATGCTACAGTTGGATCAAACAGTGAAAGACGTAGCTCAATAAGTAGTATTCCGCTGGCTACGTCCCCAGATGAGGCAGAAGATGATGAGAGTGATGCTAAAGGGGTGGAAAGTGATTCTTTATCTTTGCAGAGTAAACTGGAAGATGTAAATGAAGTATCACCTAGTCCATCGGAACCCACAGCTACGTCAACACCAGTGTCTCAGCTGGAGGCACAAGAAAGGAGGAAGCGTTTCAATAAACCCTCGCAGTCCATTCAGGGCTTTCCTGGTGAACAAGAAGCTGTGGCTGAAGCAAGACGACGCCCACCACTTAGAAGAAGTGCCTCTGCATCCAGTCCATACCGTCATTCAGACACTTCAGCCATGACGTACTGGGGAACACAGCGACCACGTCTTAAAACTCTGGAAGAAAGTTTTGAGGAATACATTAGTGTCACCACAGCAACTAACAAGAAAGTGCGGGATAAAGAACGTCTGACAACCAACACAAAGCCGTTTCATTTGTACAATGCACCGTTTCGTGGCAGTGGTTATGGGAGTCGTGCACGAGACAATCTCAAGCGTAGGTCTGCACCTCCAAACATGACCCAGCCGCTGGAATTGTCTATGCATGAGTTGTACATAGAAGCAAAGCCACCCAGCCCAGAAGACAAGGAAATTGAGACTATAACTTCCAAGATTACCCAAACCCAGAAGGAAGGAAGTCCTCGTCAAGATACCCATTGCTAATGGTGACCCAATATTATAGCTATACATAGTTGGCAATCTGTTAAAGGAAACATGCATGCATAGATCTCTGCTTGGGTTTGTGCTGTTGCGGCTCAGTGACTGCATGGGAGTGGTGTTCATAAAACACATTGGCAGCTTCTGGCATCTTAGCAGGCAATTGTCCCAATAGTTTGCAAACATGCATACTTTTTTTCAATTCGCTTCAGTAATGGCTACGTTTGAATTAATGCATTCCTTGTCAGAACTCTGTTGATAAACAGCAAAGCAATTTATGGGATCCTTGTTGCTTAAAATTATTTATATACATTTTCTGGTAAAAATAACATGTATATTTCCTGATAATAATATTTTCTATCAATTCATAGAAGAATTCCATAAATTGACTTTCCTCAATTTGGGGTGCACCTACGGAATGCAGTTGTCTTGTATATAAAACACAACAAACCTTTTTTTTTATATATAAATGCAGGCTCGTCATTTTTGCACGTTTTGCATTTTAGAATTTATTTTTAGTATATTAGAATAAAGCCTACGAGTAATTTCTGAGAGGAGGATGGTAGGGAACAATGTCAAACATACTTCAGGAAAACTTTCCTTGATTTGTCGTATACAGATAGATGACTTTTGTTATTAAATGCTATCTTGTACATTATACAATCTACTACTTAGGTAGTTGTGCAACAATCATGATAATATCTATCACACCACACATGGCAGATGAATTAGGAATTAACTTCGAATGAGTCTATGTGTTGCAGAATATTTTGCAAACCATTAACCCTGAATAATCTATTTTAACATTGTAGGTTTCAAATCAGATCAAAATAGAGGGTAGGGGTGGGGGGATTGAGCTGTATTCATTTTAATACAATCATGACAAAACAACCATTTTTCTGAAAAATGTAATAAATATCTTATGAAGGTTAAGTTTGACATCAAGGCTGAAATTAACTTTAGTATCAGATTTAAGACATATTTGTCACTACCATCCTTCTTTGAAGCTTATAGGAATAGGAACATAAATGATTTGTATTGGAATGGTGGAGAGTATAATTTTTGGGGCAGGATTATTGGAATGGTATATGAATGATGGGTTAAAAAGGCATGTGAGCTTTGACATGCATATGCCAATTAATTAATGGCCACCATGTGAATGAAGGGTTACTTGTCCAGAGGAATTTCAACTTCCTCTGTCTTCTTAACGCTGTGGTCTTGTTTCTACCCACAAGTCACTGTCAACCTACGATGCTTTGCACATATTGTTTAAGGCACTCTCTATGTTACCGACTTGCCTTATTTTTAGATATATGTACTGATCAAATATAGGTTAAAACAATGTATGATCCGGACGCATTTCTACGTACTTGGATATAAACACTGCTGAAAAGTACCGTCTTGGATTGCTGTAGTTCATCTAACTGATGAAAGCTAACCATTCCCTGGAAAAAATGGAAAACATGATTTTCATGTCCTAAAAACTTAGCTCATTGTGAAAAAGAGTTAAATAACTTAATTTCCTTGAGTGTGATGTAAATATTTTATTTGTTAATTTTGAAAATATGGACCGTTGATCAGCAAAACCTGATACAAGTACTGTGTACACATTTCTGTATATATCATAATTTAATGAAAAATCAGGATCGCAAAGACTTTGAAAAATTGTTTTATGATTTAGGTTTTATTTTAGATTCAGAGAGATGTAATGTGTAACATGATTATGTAATTTCATTCTTTATGGTATTCAAATTGTATGCAAATGATTTGACTTGTTTACCTAATTTTGATTGGCTGTATTTGATCACTGTATGTAAATATCTGACATGATTGCCTGTGCTGTCCTACTGCATCACAGTATTCAAATTGTATAGAAATGTTTACACATCAAATCTATCTGAAGTGATTGTCGTCACTGACAATCTTATTATCAGAATGTACATTTTTCAGTTAAAATTAGAATTTTTAATTATGTTGAATTCAACTTGAAAGATTTTAGTTTTTGAAATGAGAATGGAATGATGACCTGTAGCAGCTGCTTATGTTTGCTTTATTTCTAGTTGAGTGTCTGCTGCTCTGACATCTCGCATGTACCCATACACACTACTGAACTACAATGATATTGGCTTATTGAACCCATCACATTTCTCCCAATGAGGGCAGTACAAAATTACGAGAAAGATGTATTCTCGGGGGCGGAGCTAAATCACAAGATGTTCCACGTTGCTAAGATGCAAACCACTGTACCATGTATTTCTATGGGCTCTGCACGAGCTAGTGTGGAATGCCGGTCAAAGAGAAGGTGAAAATAGCTAAATTCAAGAAAACGGCACAAAATAAACTTTGAAGTAATCCTGGACAACCAAATTTATATATGTTGGACATGTGGGTGTGATCTTGTTACACTGTTCAGGGGAGTCTCAATAATCATCCCAAAGTACTGTTTTCTGAAAGTTTTCGTCCTTTTCACTGTGATGGTTGCCAGGCAGTGAAAATGTCTGCCCCCGAGAATAATGAAAAAAAAATAACCAATTGTAGAGGGCAGTATACAATATAAACTTTTTGTACAAGAGCATTGAAAATGACTAGAAATGAAGTTAATTTGTTATTATGGTGCTTAAGATTTTTTTTTGTCCATGCTGTAAATCAAAGATTACATGTTTGTTTTTTTAATCTGATTATTTTCAATTGTTGAACATTTGTAGAGTGATCACTTGTTAGTTAATTTAAGACACAAGAAAGTATATGTGGTATCTCTGTGATGTAATGGTGCAGTATAAATTTGAAAGCTGTTTCAATTTCATATGTGAAATGATTAACTATCTTCAATATCTGCATTACACTTACCGGTGTTGATATTTTTTATGAATCATTAGTTTCAGCATTTTATTTCATGTGCATATTGCCATGCTTTGAATTAGGATAATCTGTACTACAGATAAGAAATTCCATGTCTAGAGGTTTTCATGAGATATGCTTTTGGAATTTGTGAATTTGTATAGAAAACTTGCTCTGTGTAACAAAATGAAGGCTGAGTTAGTATTTTCTGAATTATTGTGCCATATCACACTCACTGCAGGCAGTCTGGCATAGTAAACTTTGTTGATAAATTCTACAACTATTTCAATACATAAAACAATGTATTTTGTATTTTGTAAATATACTTTTTAAGTTGTTTCATGATTGGTAGTTTTTATCAGCAGAAGTTTTATTTTAATAATAGTAATTGTAGTCTGAACATGAAAATATTCATAGTTCTAGCATGAGCTTTTATTACATTTTAAAAGAACAGAAGTTCATGTACATAATATTAGATTTGAATTTTAAGAATGATTATTGTTTTAATCAAAATTCTGTCAGTATTCGTTTACAGAGTTGACTGCTCGTAACTAGACGGGAAGCGTGTGGCACCAACAGCAAATATATCATACTCCATAATTTATGTGAGGTGTGCACAGGAACGCTGAAATACCATGAGGTATAAATTAATCCTGATTGGTTGGTTGCATTTTTAAAAATAACCAGTCAGAGTTATCTTTGAAATCACATGTCCCTCTTACTTGAGTGAGTTGAAAATACAGCAGTTATGGATATTACCCATAAGTACACTAAAATATTTGTATTCTGTATTTTAAGTTCAGCAATGTCAATATAAACTGAAAGATAAATGTAGCATATACATATGTATAGCAGCAGGGTTTTTAGACGGTCAGTCAATCAAAAGAAATGTGCTTTTTATTTTGGCAGATAATGAAGAATTATTTACCGGTCAAGAAATCGTGAAATAAGGAGTGCAGTGGAAACAATGATGCAGGGTAGAAGCGATTCAGACAGTGAGCTATACTTTTACTAGTAATGTAAACTTGTGTTGGTGTTTAATGTACTCAAAATCTGTCTTGCACCAAAGTCACCCTCTCTTAAGGTTCTGCTATTTGACAGCTAAAGCTATTTCTAATCAATCTTGTTTTATTACGTTTATATTCAAATTTGTACATCACACTTATATTTTAATGGTCAGAAGTAAATTTTCTTTGTGATTGGTTGAGTAGTACTATTTCATAAACACTGTCCATTAATTAATAATTATAATTTGAACTGACTGCATAAGATTATAATATTTAGTTTCTGCATCTACTGTTAAAAGTACATGTCTGTGATACTGTAAAATACATTATTTTAACTGGAATTAATTTTTACTGATTCTTGATGAATATAAAACATGAGATAAAAAAAAAAGGTATTTCACTGGATTTTATTTTCACTGATTCATCACTTCAGTGAAAACGGCCACAAAAAGTTCCAACTGAAAATAAGGTACTTTTACAGTATGTGAAATCCAGATCCTTTTGGGGGTGGTTTTGGTAATACAAGACTTCCAACATGTGAACCAGGCTGGTAGTTAACATATCTAACGGTAATTTGATTCAGCTTGGTTCCCCAAGATAAACACTCCCATAAAATGCATTATAAGCATAATATCATACTTACTGGTTGGTTGCCTTTGCTTTTAGAGTGTTGCATGTCAAATACTAACAGTTAGCCTGGTCAGAGAGAATTGAAAATTATGGTTTATTTCCAGAATGCGTTATATACATTTATAGTATAACTCCTATTCCTGTGTTGCTTTTATGTCAGTGCAAACTTCAGACATTACTTAGTTCCTTGGTTAACAGAATTGGAACAGCAATGCATGACGTGATTTATTGTAGTCAAGATAATAATATTTTAATTACTTTAGTCAATAAATGGTGAAATATGTCATCAGTATAGCTTACAACATATACCCTGCTTACAAACACCACATCGTTCAGATTCGATTTTTGGCCATGTTACTCGGAAAGGTTTTCAACTAAATGTTGCTGACAAAACAACTTCAAGCATGAAATCTTCTGATATGGTTATCATATACTGGTTGGACATAAGATAGTAGAAATAGTTATGTCGTCCCAAGTACATGTTTAAGACTTGGTAGCCATGCATGTGTAATACAGAAGTACGACTTACGGTATGGTAATATTTGGTCATGCAAATAGGTTTTATAATAGAAAACTGTTGCCATTCAATATTCTTTATCACATTCACTCTGAGGAATCAGCATGTCCTGTTTTTACTTGTTGATTATGATACTGATGTTGATAACTCTTGTGAGTAAGATGCATTATTGTCTTGATGGCGGTACTAATGGTAAAAATGAGATAAGTCTTAATGGTGAAAGCAGGAACTTTTGTTGTTTTTGTGATTGTGGTCCTGGTGTTAGATATGTCATTCTTGTGTCATAGTGGCTTTGTGTTAACTCATGGGTGCGAGACATGTCATCCTTGTGTTAACTCACGGATGCGAGACATGTCATCCTTGTGTTAACTCATTGTAGTGAGTTATGTCAACCTTGTGTTTACTCATTGTAGTGAGATATATCATCCTTGTGTTAACTCATTGTAGTGAGATATGTCAGCCTTGTGTTAAGTCATTGTAGTGAGTTATGTCAACCTTGTGTTTACTCATTGTAGTGAGATACATCATCCTTGTGTTAACTCATTGTAGTGAGATATGTCAACCTTGTGTTAACTCATTGTAGTGAGATATGTCATCCTTGTGTTAAGTCATTGTAGTGAGTTATGTCATCTTTGTGTTTAATAACTCATTGTAGTGAGACATGTCATCCTTGTGTTAACTCATTGTAGTGAGACATGTC